TATTGTAACCTCTATCCTAAATTATCTTTTATAACAGTCATGATAATAACCCCTTCCTAAAACAGATTTTTTGGTTTTAAATTCTTTAGGCAGTTTGAGAGGGGAAACTCAAATATTTTTCCTGAGCTCTCTGAGTCCTTATTGTCTTCAGCTCGAAATAATCCACATACCAGAGTGGTGCTTCCTGGGGCAGCTTGCCCTAAACACCATCAATAGCCAGAGTTGGGCCACTTCCTCCCCCTGCCCTCCCACACACCGTGACACCTGCTGGCCCTCCAGTTCTGCAGAGCCCTTGGCTTGTGCCTTGTGCTGGTCTGGCTGGGCTAAGTGGAGGTTGGAAGTAGCATTTGCACAATGATGACTCATTAGCCCCTGTAGGTTTTGACTTAAAGTCATTCAGAGCAGGTCGGAAGCTGGGTTTTTTTTTGATAGACAGTAGAGGGTGAAGTGGGTATATATCTGTTTCCTGCCTCTTTTGCATGCATTTTCTTGCTGTGCAGAAACTGTTTCAAGAGCACAGATCCATAATTCTGCAGAAAACCTGTTTTAGGAGTGGCTTCTGGGCAGAGTGCACTGGCCTGGATGCCAGCCTCACAGACCAAGCGTGGCGGGCTCTGGGTCTGCATGCCTCTGGGAGTGGGAGCTCACTGCCGCCTCTAGAGGGGCCTTCCTGGGACCTCAGCTTCCTCTCCCTTTTTCCAGCGTAATTGACAGACAAAAAGCTGGATCTAAACCAGTGCTGAGCAAGAAGGTGATTAGATATTTTACAGGAGGATTTTTAGCTTTTTGAAAGGTTTTACCATGAAATTAATTCCTTTGGTTATCTTAATGTGTATTTGAAATAAACTCATTTTGTTAGTCTGCATAGCTTCACAGGACCGTGGGTGCTGGGTAAATCAGATTATGCCCTCCGTCCCCCCATTTCTGAATGGCTTGTGCCGTGTTTAGTCCCTTCACTGTTATGATGCTATTTTATTATCATGACATTTGTGTGGACAGATCTTGACCTCTAGAAGAGTGGAAGAGGCTGTCTTCCAGGGAGGACAAGGAGGCATTTGCCCTGTCTGCAAGTGGTCACTACTGGTGAGCAGAGGGGCCTGGAAGCCAGGAGGCATTTTGGCAGGTCCAGGACACCAGGAGCCAGAGCAGGGACAGGCAGATGTGAGTTGCCCTCCAGTCTCTTGGGCACCCCTGCAGGGCCTGCCCTGCCACTACCTCTCACACCCCGCTTGGTGAACAGACACATCTGGGAGACACCTGTTTGCAGTTTCTGGACTCGAGCACTGAGTAACAGACGTGAACCGTCCTGGGTCATGCTCTCTTAGAGTCTTGCTATCCCAAGTGAGGTCAGGAGACCACCTGGGGGGCCTGCTGGAAATGCAGAATCTCAGCCCACCCATACTGGCTGTATTTAACCAGATCTTCAGTGACTCCTATGCACTAGCAAAAGGGGCAAGGTGGAGGGGCCGACTGGGTGGCGCAAGCGGTTAAGCACGTGTGCTCCGCTGCAGTGGCCCGGGATTCGCCGGTTCGGATCCTCAGCGTGCACCGATGCAACACTTGTCAAGCCACGCTGTGGCAGCGTCCCATGTGAAGTGGAGGAGGATGGGCACGGATGTTAGCCCAGGACCAGTCTTCCTCAGCAAAAAGAGGATTGGCAGATGTTAGCTCAGGGCCGATCTTCCTCACACACAAAAAAAAGGGCGGGGTGGGGGAAGGGAGACATTTACAGGGATTGGAGCACAGGCTGCTTCTTACCTCTCCTGGGACTGCAGAGTTCTGAAAACCTGACTGGTGATATGGTAGATGCACAGATTTGTTATAAGGGCTCAAAATTCTCTCCCAGGATTGGGAGGATAATTTTGTATTAGAGACTGGTTCTGGATTATCCTTGAGTCAGAAAGAGCTCATATAACCAAAAGATACTGAGCAGTAGGATCTGCTCCAAACTTCCTCGGTCAAGTTCCCTTAGGGACTGTTTCCTGTTTAGGGAATGTTTCAGCCGTGAGTGAGGAGGGGAGTGTTGGTGGGAAAGGAAAGTGCCCATGGGGCTTTGGTTCCGGCTGAAGCTGGATGGAGAAGCCCAGCTCATTGGTGCTGTGATTTTACCTCCCAGCCCTGCCCGGTGGCCCCAGAGCGTTGGGGCTGTCCATCCCCACCGCCCTGGGCCAGAGCCCGCCCAGCCCTTGCCTGTGTCCCTGCTTGCTGTTTTCCTACCAGTGTGGCAAACAGTTTCCTGACCTCAGAGAATTGTTCCGAAGGTCATTGTTTCAAAGGTCCATCTGTCCGTCTGTCCATACATATGCACCCCCTCTGGAATTCTTTGATATCTTTTACTCTGTGGTTGTTTCATCTTTCTGCATCATCGTGTCCCTGCCTTTAATGTCCCATGTGTGGAACTGGATTGACTTTAGGAGCGGCTGCTTATGGAAGCCAGTGGTGTGTGTTAGTAACAGAATGTTCATTTAGAGCCATCAGGTCTGAGAGTCTGCTGTGTCCCAGGCTTGCACCAGGCACCTTGCATCTCTACTTAGACCTTACAAGAGTCCAGCCTGGAGGTGGTTTATCTCCATCTTACAGGTGAGGAATTGGGCCCTCTGCTCCGGGTCACACAGCGGGCAAGTGTGGGCGCAAGGCCAGTGTGGTGGCAGAGTCCTGTCCTTTCCCCTCCTCCGGCTTGACGTGAGCTCAGATGCCGTGTCACATGAAAGAGGACACGTGGCTGGGGCTTTGTGCATCTGCCAGGCTTCGCGCATCGGGGATTGCCTGGGCCATTGGGAAGGCTGCCGATGCAAGAGGGGGGCAGACTCGCCTCACCTGCGATGACCTGGTGGCGCGTGTGGCTGGGATTGCTCCTTCATCTCTCCTAAGTCGGAAGGTCATCAGAGGGCAGAGACGGCCTGTCATCCGTGCCGCTGATTCTGTTGGCTTATTAGCTGAATGCTGCCCTGCTTTCTCTGCCACAGAATTTGTCACATGACTGGGCGCTGCCCATCATACACATGGCAGAGCCACTCTTCTCTGTCCCCAGAAATGAGGACCCTTCCTCAGAACTCTAGAAGAGTAACATTTGGGTGGAAATACTCTTACACTCATTTAAACTCTCCTTTGAAATGCTTCCTTTGAGGTCTGCCAAGATGCCCATCATGGTGGAAGACATCATGAAGCTGCTCTGCTCCATTTCCGAGGAGAGGAAGATGAAGGCGGCGGTCAAGCACTCTGGGAGGGGCGCCCTGGTCACAGGGGCCGTGGCTTTCGTTGGGGGATTGGTTGGCGGCCCACCGGGACTAGCCATTGGTAAGTGCAGGTGCCTCACGGGTGTCGTGAAAAGGCCTCAAATCCACAGAGACCTCGTGATTGTCTCTGTGCTGTGTGAGGAGTGTGTTAAGGTCGCTTTTGTGAAATGGTTTTGGTGTACATAATTTGTCCTGTTAAAAATACAAGCTTCTGGGCCGGCCCCGTGGCTCAGCGGTTAGGTGTGCGCACTCCGCTGCTGGCGGCCCGGGTTCGGATCCCGGGCGCGCACCAACGCACTGCTTCTCCGGCCATGCTGAGGCCGCGTCCCACATACGGCAACTAGAAGGATGTGCAGCTATGGCATACAACTATCTACTGGGGCTTTGGGGGGAAAATAAATAAATAAAATCTTTAAAAAAAAAAAAATACAAGCTTCTGTGTGAACGCCTCAGAAGTGCAGGGCACTCTCAAAAATGGCATCTGTGTCATGTAGATCTGGAGGACACCTTTCCTCCAGGGGGTGTGTCCTGGGTCCCTTGGCCGGTCTCCCTCCCCCGTCACCATTACGTCACTGCAGAGGGGAAGCGGTGAGGAAGCTGGGATGTGCTGAGCACCTGCTGGGAGCAGATGCTGTCTGGCCGTTTCACACAAGCTCATTCAGAGTGAGCTTCCCCATTCTGAAAGCAAACAGCCCAGTGCAGAAAAAGCAACAAACAAACTCCTAGAGTGGTCGCCCCTGCCCCCTTGTCTTACCACCTGCTTCTATTTGGGAGTCAGTTTCTGGCAATGAATGAACGTTTGGCTGATTTTCCCATCATTCTGTGGATCTAGAATGAAGTTGCTTCCTTTGGATTAGGAGCAGGAAGAATTCCTGTGTGGCCCAAACTGTGGGCTGGGGTGATGTCAGAGTTGGCCACCGTTCAGGCCTTACTCAGGGAGAGGCCAGATGAGGCCTCCCTTGAGGTGCCTCAGATGGACCCTGCCACCCAGGGGATCTGCTAAAGGCATGGACTGCCACACTGGGCTCTACAGATATCTCCCGAAGGACTTCTCTGTGCTGGGCAGCCTGTGCTGGGGATACGGGGGCCTCAGAGAGCTTGGGGTCTGGTGGAAATCCTTTCTGTATGACTTACAGTCTTCACATGAATACAGGCTGGAGAGATGACTGCTTTTTTGCTGAGGTTGGCTTCTGTTTCCCAGCTCACTGGCAAGGCTTCCTGCTCTCTTCTTCCCTTCGGTAGTAGGATTGACATTCAAGGACATTTCATTAAGCTGAGGCTGCACTGGGGAGAAAAATCAGTGTGTGGTGGCCCCAGACCTTTCATATTACATTTCCCTTTCCAAGCTCTGTGAATTAGCGAGTCCTGTGACCTCAGCTTCTTGCCATCTAGGAAGTAGCCAGTGAGGGAGGAGACAAGGCATTGCCTTCTTCCTCAGTGACACCCTATAGCTTTGTCCCACCCCATGTGCTGTGCTCAGGGGAGGCTTGCTGGGATCATTTATCATAGAGCTGTGCCCAGATGCCATTTTGGGAGGACATATTTTATTCAGATTGAGTTGAAGCTGGTAGAGAACAGAGTGTCTACTTAGAGAACCTGGGGGATTTGATACTTGCAGCCCCTGGTCATGGCAGGAGCATCATTTTACCAAGAAAACAAAGGAATTTTCTCTTCTCCAATGAGTTAGTAATTTGCTGGTCAATATTCCTGGTGATTTTTTTGCATTAAGTGCTGCTCTAAATCAAATATTGACGTTCTCATAAAGGTTTAGTGCAGATGAGTGCAACTCTTGTTGGCTCTAGGTGTTTCACTGGTGTCATGGGGAAAAGTTCAGTGAAACTTGTGAATTGCTGGCTCTCCCTCCCTGGAACTCTCCCTCCCTGGAACGCTCCCTCAGCGGCGAGGAAGCCCGTCCCGGGATGTGCTCAGCCTGCAGGCCTCGGTGCAGGAGGAGGGGTGTGCTTCCAGGTGCCTCCACCCTTGGCTTCCTGCAAGAGGGCGGGTGTTACTGCCTGTTGGCCGAGTCCAGCCTGCAGATGGGTTCTCTCTGGCCCGGGCTGTATTCTTTTAGATAAACTTTTCATTTTGGAATAATACTGGGTTTACAGAGAAGTTGCACATATAGTGCAGAGAATTCCCATGTATCCCTCACCCAGTTTCGGTTCCCTTCAAGTTAACATCTTCTATTACCATGGTACATTTGCCAAAACTAAGAAACTAACACTGATACATACATTACTATTAACTATTCTCCAGACTTTGGGTTTTACCACTTTTTGCATTAAAGTTCTTTGTATGTCCAGAGGCTAGCTGAAGATACTGCACTGCATATAATCGTCCTTTCTCCTCAGTCTCCCCTGGTCTGTGACAGTTCTCAGACTGCTCGTTTCCCACGGCCTTGATGGTGTTAGGAGGACTGGGCAGGTGTTGTGTAGAGCGCCTCTCCATTTGGGTTTGCCTGATGACTGCCTCAGGGTTAGCCTGGGGTTATGGTCTTTGGGAAGAACATTGCAGAGGTGAAGTGCCCTTCTCATGGCACCATTTCCGGGACCCGTGACATCAGGACACAGGGCAGGACCTCCCTGGTGGCGTTCCCCCTGATCACCTGGGTAGGGCCGTGTTTGCCAGGTTTCTCCACTGTAAAGCTAGTTTCCCCTTTCCGTGTTCCAGTCTTTCAAAGATGGTCACTAAGTCCAGCCGGGCTGCAGCTTTTAAATACCTGATCGCTGACACTTTGAAGTCATGGGACTTTTTAAAGACACAAATCTGGTATTCTGTATGGCAGCAGTTGGCTGGCATGGGGTAGCCACTGGCCCTTTAGACAGGGACCCAGCTCTCCAGTTACCACAGGCCCACTCGGCCCACTTCACTCCGGAAGGCACTTGAGTTTGAGACCCCTGCCCTAGGGTACCTTCCTGCAGCAGACCTGCGCCACACCTCGTTAGTTAGAACTTTCCGTTGATACCAGGTCTTCAAGTCCCAAAACAGTGTGCCTTAACTTTGATGATAAATTTACGTTTAAAAATAATGTTTGTGCCGGGGCCAGCCCGGTGGCGTGGTGGTTAAGTTCGCGTGCTCCACTTCGGCGGCCTGGGGTTCTCGGGTTCGGATCCCAGGTGTGGACCTGCGTGCCGCTTGTCAAGCCATGCTGTGGTGGCGTCCCACGTGTAAAGTAGAGGAAGATGGGCATAGGTGTTAGTCCAGGGCCAATCTTCCTCTGAAGAAAGAGGAAGATTGGCAACAGATGTTGGCTCGGGGCTAATCTTCCTCACCAAAAAGAAAAAAATGTTGTTTGTGCCCTTTTGGAGTAGCAGAAAGAGAAACAGTTGAATACATTAAATTTTTATTTATTATCATATAACTTTGGAAGGGTTGTATGAAAAATACTGCTTCAAGAGAAAAGGTCTCCTTATCTGTCCCCACGGTCCTTTAACCACGTGATTTCACTGGAAATTTCCAAAGTTCAGGGGCAAGGAGCACATTAGCCGCTCCGTGGAGGAAACTCAGCCTCACTGCTGAGATGGTTCTCCTTGAAGATACATTTGCTTCTTAGTCCTCTCCTGTGAGATGAGAGAGATGTGTATGGGCGGCGTGGAAAGCTTCAGGCCCTGAAGAGGATTTAGTTAGCACAGCTGAAGCGGGAGATGCTTCCTGTTGCCTCCGTGAGCGTGGAGCTCAGGAAAGGGCATGTTGGGTGTCAGGTGTCTGAGCCAGATGGACTGAAGACCACACAAACCTTTGCCCTCTGCACTGCCTGGCGGAGCAGGCGTGAGCTGGGCCCGTCCCGACCCCCTCTTGACTGCCCACTCGCCATGACGGTGGTTGTGCTCTCAGTGAGAACCCGAGGCCTTGATTTATGAGTCAGTCCTGACTAACTGAACCGTCTTTGTTTTCTAGGGGGCGCCGTCGGGGGTCTGTTAGGTGCCTGGATGACGAGTGGACAGTTTCAGCCAGTTCCTCAGATCATCATGGAGCTGCCGCCTGCCGAGCAGCAGAAGCTCTTTAACGAGGCCGCTGCCATCGTCAGGCACCTGGAGTGGACGGACGCCGTGCAGCTGACCGCGCTGGTCATGGGCAGCGAGGCCCTGCAGCAGCAGCTGCTGGCCATGCTGGCGAACTACGTCACCAGGGAGCTCCGGGCGGAAGTTCGGTACGACGACTAGGCCCTCCCCAGGAGGTGAGGGTCTCATGTGGCGACTCTCCTACCTCCTGGGAGGTGACCGGGGAGCTGGGGGAGGCCCCATCATCAGGGTATCACCTTAAACTGGAGAGAGGTCTCCTGCTGGAGAGGCTGCTGCTGTGCCGCATCATGTCCTGGAAATGATTCGTGAAGACGTGTGTTCTCCGGTCGTGCGCGCTGACGCGCACGGACAGCCCTTCACCTGGGAAGCTGGTGAAAAGCAGAGGCGCGCCCTTGCGGACGTTGGCGGGTCTTCTGAATCGACTCGCTCACGCGGGAGTGTGGAGGGTTGTCTCGTTCAGCCTCGTCGTCTTGTGAAGATGCTCCGGACACACGCATCTGTCGCAGGACTGGTTCCCACCTTGGGCCAGGGTCTCAGGACCTCGGGGCCACCGTGCTGGAATCATGTTTACCTCTTGACTGCGCCCCTCCCCCCGTGACTCCTGAGTGGCCTCGAGGAGGGGTCAGTCGGCCTGCTGAGTGAAGCCACAAGCGCCCGTCGCACCCCCCTTGTCCCCCCATCCCCCACTAGCTGCAGCCTGGGCTCTCCCCCCAGGGGCCTGCTTTCCCCTTCTGAAAAGTCATGGTAGCGCTTGGGTTCTGCTTTGTAAATTAAATACTTCCGTAATAGTGTCGTTCTTGCTGAAGTGGTGGGAGCATCATGGGTCTCCGAGAATGTGCCCACCTGACATCTCTCTAATACTGTGTTCACTGTGCTTTTGAACCACAGCTTGACTAAGTGTCACCGAGTTACAGTAAATGTTTTCTGAGCAGTTGTTTTCCTGCGTATGCTGTATAAAGCATCTCTGACATTTGGAGTTGTACACACAGAACATGAGGGAAGGTACCAGATTTGTAGATTTAAAGAATGAAGGAAAGCTCCCGATTCCGCTGCCTGAGACCTGGCTTTGCAGGCTGCCCTTGCCTCCCTGTGCTGCCGGTGTGTGCACACCGCACACCGCCTGGGCCTCCCCTGGCAGCCACACACCATCCCTCTGGTCCCCAGGCCCTGGGCAGGGTTGGGACTTAGGACCTCTCCACGGACAGGAGCAGTGCAGGCCTCCCTGGGGTGCGGGGCAGGCACACCTGCTGAGGACAGGTGGTGCCTCTCATATCCAGGTGTGTGGAGGAAACCAGGGTGAATTAGAACCCACAGTGGTTAAGGAAGGATCGAGCCTTTCCCTCAGAACAATGGCTCCTCAGCTGGCCACTAGCACAGATCAGCTGCCCTGGCACAGGCCACACTCCTGGAGTTGACGAAGCTGCTCCATCATGTGTGTGCTGCTTGAGTGTATGGGGGCAGGCGGGGTCCGATAGACGATTCTCCTAAATCACAGAAGGTGACGGGGGGGGGAGGCCCCCCCATTCGTTACTCGTGTGTTGGGGTCTACTCTGCCAGGCCCAGGGGACACAGATGGTCCCAGCTCAGAGTTCCTACACCAGTGTCCACTGAAGCTCCTCCCTCAGCCTGCCTGCCTTCACCCCTGGGCAAAACACCCCCAGGAGCAGATGGCCCAACTCCTGAGGGATTTTGCGTTGGATGGAGCGGGCCTTGCTGAGTCAAGTCACTCTTGACTAGCTTGTCCTGGGGTGACTTGCTGTGGGCATTGAGCCCAAGAGGGCAGTCCCCACCTCAAGTCCTGTCTTCCCCAGGAGCTAAAAGCATTGTCCTTACTTTTCCCCTCAGGCTGTCGTCTCAGCTCCTGTGGTTTGAGTATTTATATATCTGTATCTTTTAAAAATCTTTATTTATTTTTGAGTGGGTAATACCAGCCGGGTACAAAACTTAGAAGACACCAGAATGTACAAATGGAAATGGAAGCCTTCCTCCTATGCTGACCCCTGCCCAGCGCCCCCCACATGGGTACAGACACTGCACCAATTTCTTGTGCATTCCTTCAACTCTGTTTTTAAATCATCTTTGAAAACCATTCATTTCCTTTTATTTGTCAATGTTTATTGCCTGAAAACTTAGACAAATTCAGAAAAGTATAATGAATTAAAAACCACTACAAATTTCAAATTTCACCACCCAGAAAACCACTGTTAACAAATTTGGTATATTTCGTGCAAGCCTTTTAATCCTGCATATGTGTACTTGGAACGTATTTGCATTCTTAGTGTTTAGACCTCTTTGGACACTTTCACCAAGTAACATCAAATACCATTTGTGACGGAACTTCAAGCTCCCTGTAGATGCGTTGTGCCTGTATAATATTCCATTGCACTGACCCACATCCCTGGTGTGGTTTCCTCTGTAGGTTTTTACTCTTATAATGCTGCAGTGGACATTTTTGTGTTAATATTCTGTTCATGATAGATAGTCTTTAGGATAGATTCCTCAAAGTGAAATGGCTATTAAAAACTATGTAATATTTTTTAGGGCTGTTGTTACATTTGGTCAAAATTCTTTCCAGAGAGGTGATATCAGTAATTTGCTCTCCTAAAAACAGGGTTTGGGGGGACACGTCTCATTGCATCCTCACCAAGAAATAGAATGATAGTATCTTAAACCTTTATTAATTTGATGGGTGATTATAGGCATCTGGGTTTGATTCGTTTTTCTTTGGGTTACGAGTGGAGTTGACAGGGCGAGGTGACTTCCTGGTGGCTGCTTGCCCAGGCGGTGCCGAGAGCCCCCAGCTGCCTGTGGCCAAGGCCCTGTTGGAGGTTGAGGTGGCACTGGCCTGAGCAGAGGGCTGGCAGCAGACTGGCCCCACCTGTGGCTGGCTGGGCGGTGGTGGCAGGGTGGCCGGGAAACGGCGGGGGGCTGCCAGTGGGGTGAGGAGGTGGCTGAGGAGGGAGCCTTGGGGGGACCCAGTAATTATAAAAAGAAACCATCTGCTCTGAGGCGGTTATTAACCTGCTTTGGGTGTTGATGAGACAGTGCCGAGCAAGATTTTTCACAGGCAGATGGTATTTTTAACTAGAATGAACTTTTTTACTTTTTTGTTTTTTGAAACGTCTGGCTTGGAAGTAAACACGACTGGGGTGTGTTGCAATGCAGGAGGCTGGAGGACGGGCTCAGGGTTTGGAAGGAAGTGGTCCTCTCCCCATTTAGTTATTGAGAGGTGCCATCTAGTGGGCAAGTGGGTGCATCCTTTCTCCTCTTCCCTCTGAGCCAGGCCTACCGCGCATTCTCCGGGTCACCAGCCTGGCCAGGATGTGGCTCCACAAAGATGCTGTTTTATGAGTTCCCCTTAGGAGGAGGCTGGGGCCTTCCTGAGGTTTTAATAAGCCGTGAACAGAACATCAGCCGTGTCTCCTGCAACTTTTATGCATATAAACCCGAATGTCTCTCAATCCTGAACAATCAACAGATGGCAATTAAGAAATGCCAGGATTCATCTAAACCACACAGGGAAGGGAACTGTCTGATGTGTTTTCAGTTTGCTGGCAGGAGACAAACGGCTTTATAAGCTGGAGGAGGCTTCTCAGAGCGTTATGCTAAGGCAGGTCAGGAGGTGTAGCTGGGCCCGGCTGGCTGAATCGCAGCCTGGGGCAGCTATGAGCACCCCAAATGGTGGCAAACGGAGGGGTTGGAAAGTGCTTTTCTAAACTATTGAGGTGCTGGCTACTTACTTAAGTTTGTGGGTTTTAAGGACTTGACTCATTCTCATTTGCAGTTAAGCAAATGCGAGGATAATATCCAGGAGATGTCTGTTACACCCCACTTAATTAGTAAAAATAAATACAAATGATCAAGCTCAGAGGTGGCAGGGCTGTGGGGAAGCAGCGTATACACACACGCACACGTACACACCACTGGAGAAAACACAGACACAGTCTCGTGGGAGAGTGATTTGAGGAAAAAAAGTCACGAGAACCATAAAATTGTATATACTTTCCAGCCAACAGATTGTACTTCAGGGAAAACATTACAATAAAATAATTCGGATGGAAAAAAGATAAAGATATTCGTAGCACTGCTGTTTATTATAGCAGGAAAAAAGGGAAATAATTCCAATGTTGTACAACAGGGAAATAGTTAAACTATGATGTGGACACTCTAATGGAATACTGATAGCCAGTTTTAATAAGTAGTAAACGGGGCTGGGTATATGAAATTGCTCCATACACATTATTTAGGTTACAGCAGTTTTGTACTTATGTGCTTGGGAGGGATAAAGAACCGGATGGACTGTGACTGGTGCTGGTGACGGCCCGGCTTCCCAGGCAATGAGGGTGTGGCTCCGAGGAAACAGTACAGACAGAAGAGAATCTCCAAGTGTGAGCTCAGACGTCTTGTGCCTGAGGGGATTCTAGTGTTAAAAATGTGAATTATTTACCTGTGCCGAAACCAAACGAGAACAGCCTGGTCCCCAGCTCCCTGTTCCAGACAGTGTCCTCAGGAGGCGCCATCCCCGGGCCGTGTGAAGTTCTAGAGCACAACCCCAGGCGGGTGGCACGTGAGAGCTTCATCCAATGCACATGTGCCATCGACCAAGGCAGGAGGGCCAGCGTGCTGGGCACTTCTCGGAGGAGGGTCTTCCCTCTGGAGGCTATCCAACAGAAATATAACGCAAGGCACAAACGGGAGCCACATATATAATTTTAGATGTTCTAGTAACCACATTTCTAAAAAGTAAGAAGAAACAGATGAAATTAATTTAATAATATAATTTATTTAACCCAATATAGCCAACGTATTATCATTTCAACATGTAATCGGTATAAGAGATTATTGAGATGTTCTCCATCTTTTTATATTAAGTATTTAAACCTGGTGTATATTTAGGCGTACAGCACCTCTCAGGTCTGACTAGCCACATTCAAGCCACAGGGGTTGCCAGTGATACGGACGTGTCCCTGTAGGGGCCGGGAACCTCCCTCTGTCTCTTCTCCGTGCTGAAGCTCGGCATCGGGGCTTGTCTGAGGTCCTTGTGAGGTCAAGAGCAGGCTGGGTCCTGTGGACTGAACTGTGTCCTTCCCAAATTCATGTGCTGATGCCCAAACCCCCAGTGTGATGGCATTTGGAGATGGGGCCTTGGGGAGATAATTAGGGTTAGATGAGGCCATGAGGGGGCCCATGATGGGACTAGTGCCACGAGAAGAGACGCCAGAGCACTCGCTGGCTCACTCTCTGCCATGTGAGGACACAGCAGGAAGATGGCCGTCTGCAAGTCAAGAGTTCCCAGTAGAACGCAACCATGCTGGCACCCTGATCTTGGACTTCCAGCCTCCAGAACTGT